GTGTTCCGCCCCCTCCAACCCCCCCCAGCCAATTTCTATTAGTGGCAGCTCTGTTACTGTTTTTCAATATATGAAAATACCCCTTGGCCTTAAGAGAATGGGACTAGGGGAGCAAGGGGGAAGGGGAGCTCATCACACTGACTCTCAGTTATCCTTTAGTATTCCACTTCCTTTTGGTTTTTTGTTTTGTTTTCTTATTTTTAAGGCATCTGATGCCCCAGATGAAGAAAACTCCGCCAACTGTGATGGAGAATATCCAGGCTGTAAAATCTCCTGACTGGGAAATGGAAAGCAGAAAACATGAGAGGCCAGAGAACATCCTTGCATCCTCTCAGCTCACAGAGCAGGAACTCAAGGCTCTGACAGCCCCTTTACAATCCATCCCTGAAATGGAGTACGAAGCACCACCGGCTGATGCTGTGGGAAACACTGAGAGAGCCATCAGGACCTCTGTGGAGCTGCTGCAGGATGCGAGGAACTTTGTGCCAAGTTACGAAGAGTTTGACTACCCTGGGGAGGTTTTCACCATGCCAGGTCCCTATGAAGATGACACCTTCCAAAACCTTGCTCTCTTTGAGAATTGCTCCCCAGCCTCTTCTGAATCTAGCTTAGACATTTGCTTCCTCAGGCCCGTTAACTTCACGTCAGAACCGGAGAGGACAGATCATGCCTTACAGCCATTGCCTAAGAGTTGCACTCCTGTGAGCAGCAGTACTTACAAGCGTGAGATGTTCCACAGCAAAGGCAAGCAGCTGAGCCGATCTCTGAAGGAGTTGCCAAGGAGTGCTGAGGGCGTGAGCACCAGACTCTACAGCACGCGGAGCAGCAGTGGGAGCCGGCTGCAGCAGAAGCAGGAGAGGAATGTCCAGCCTCACATGATCTCAGCCTCATCTCGAAGCTCCCAAAGGAGCTACTTCCCCCCACAAAGAGGAGCGGGTGAAAAACAGAGCTTTTTGGAAGTAAGGAGGCTTAAATAGGAGGAGGAAAAAAGAAAAAGGCACATGGTGATGCAGAAGCAGCAGCAGGAGGAGAAAGATCTGAAAATCAGTTAGGGCAAACCAGATCACAACAGCTTCCAAGTCTACACATTTAAAGTCCTCATCTGCATGTATGTCTCAAGGGAGTGACAAGACAGCTCCTCTTCACACACATCTTCCCTGAGGACAAGCATGCGCTTGAGGCACAGAGCTGGCTGAGTGACAGCTAGAATACCCTGGAGACAAGGTAGCCTCTCCTGTGTCTCTAGCTGTCACTGATCTTCCCCCGCAAGTAAATACTGTGTCTGACCAGGGTCACTAAAGTATGTGCAAAGCTGTTCAAAGTTAGTGCTGTTAGGGTGGCACCCAGTTAAAAAGGTGCCTTTCCACCTGCTGTGAGTAGTACTGGGTTAAGAAAACCAATAGATTTAGTATCAGAACCTCAGCCAGTGTAAACTGGCATGATTCAGCTGAACTCAGCTCATTTACACCAACAAGAACCTGTGTTTGTCATGTGGCTTATAAACCCATGCTAAAGTTTGTGTGAAAACAGACAGAGCTCAGCAGCCATGTCCCTTAGACCGCCAGTGGCATGGCAGACAGCACTCTGGCCCTTCAAGGACATCAGGTCTTGCAGGAACAATATTTTTGTAGTCTGCAGTGCCTGTTTAGAGTCACCTTTGAGCTGTCACAGTCAGGGGGAAGATGTCCTTCACAATTTCTGGGGAAGAGTCCCCTAGAGTGCTGGGAGGTGCTTAGCTAGCTCTCTCAGTGCTGCTTGGAAAAACACCCTCCTGTGAAAATGAGGCAAGATGCAGATGAGGCTGTAGATGCAGGCAATGATGGGAGGAAGGTTCCAACTGACTGAAAAGTGAGGAAGGAAACCTTGAAAGAAAAAAGTCTAGTGAGTGAAGGAGGTGGTGGGTGGCTGAGCAGGGGCGATGAGGCAGAGGGAGAAGAGCCATGGGGACACTCAGCCCCCTGCCCCAAAGCAGGAGCCAGTGAGCTCTTTGGCACTCACCTGCACAAAGATATGAGCCACAGCAGGGTGCAGATGTGGAGCTGGTCCAGAACTGCAGGACACATTCTCCCTCACAGAGCAAAAGAGACCACCATGGCAGTGGTAGGCAGAACTGGAGAAGAGGGACTTGTCCAGAGGCTTGCTGAGAGGAACTCAGCACTCTCCTGAAGGGGGAGAGATCTTCTAATGGCACATTTACCACAAGGTGTATGTGTTCCTGAAGGCTTCTGTCCCGCAGATATAAAACCAGGCAGCAGCAAAGCCAAAAGAAGAATCTTTAACACCATATCAACTCAAGAAGCTTGAAGCCTCCTCACCCTAGGGTAAAGAAAGCTTAGGAGAGCAAGGAAAGGGTGGGAAGTTCCTTCAACACGCTGGCTTGCTCCCTAATTGTCAAGAGGGGCCAGTAAGCTCCCCCTAAATAAAAAAACTTAGCAAGGAAGACTCCAGCTCCCTCTAACAAAACTTATCCTTCTACTCCTCTGCCGCTGCCTCAGCCTCAAAGCCAGCGACAAGTACTCTGCAAAGGTATCAGTGTTGTGAAGGCCCAAATGACCTGTTTTCTCCCAAGCGTTGTCAGCACCTCCTCACCTACCAGGTCACTTCCTAGCACAGAGAAAGAGAGAGAGAGAAGGGGACAAGGATGTGAGGTTGCAAATGCTGGTTAAATTGTCTTTTCCCTTTTAGGAGCTCCATGCAGAAGACAACACCAGGTTCTGCCAGAAGGATGACAATGAGCAAACATCCTTCAGCGACCACAACCCACGGCACGAGCCCAAGGGGGGTTTCCGGAGCTCCTTCCGCAAGCTCTTCAAAAAGAAATAAGCAGCCCCAAGAAAGGCAGGCCACAGCCTAAGTGCAACAGTGCTTTCCCAGGTCCCTGAGGGTGGAGACAGCCAGCAAGGCCCCAAGATCCCCCCTGACTAACACAGTAGGTGGAGGTCGGGGGAGAGGAGAATGTCGCAACTGTCTTACAAATACATCCTGCTCTTCATAGTACAGGGCAGGGCCAGGCTATGGAGGTTAGCCAGCAGGTGCAATAAGCACAGGAACTTGCTAGCTTTCACCCCTGCCTGATTTAATTTTCCTCAGTTCTGGGAAACTGTGGCTGAATCCCACTATCTTCTCCTCCCCCTCAGCACTCCTTGATTTGCCATACATCTTTGCTCTTCCAAATTCAAGCCAGGTCTAATTTGGGCTTGCCCACAACAGAGGGGTTACCTTTGCAACCTTGGCATCCATGCGAGATGTCTTAAATTCCTCTTTTTCCTCCACTTAAGAAAACCCGCCAAAACCACAAGCAAAAAATTCGCAGCATCAGAGACGTCCTTCCAGAGGCCAGCTTGCATTACCCTGCTGATTTGAGAAAGTCTCATAAGCATAAGCTGAAGCACCTGAGATTTCTACTGCTTAATCAGCAGCATACTTTCTTCTGGACTTCCCTCACTCCCCCCAAAATCCTCCTTCACATTTTATGTGGCGTGCTGTTTCTTGAATTGCCTCCAAATCTCTGTTCCTGCTGTTGTAATTGCCTATGACTCCTTTCAGGTGACACAGGCTGAGCACAGAGCCTGCCACAAGAAACACACACTAATCTCCACCCTATCCCCACCGTGGATTGATGCAGTCAACCAGTGTTCTGGCTCCTGGTCTGTAATACACCTGAAATACTCTCTGCTAACTCTTCTTTGGCCTGATAGCACTTTACAAGCCCATCATGTACAGCACGCTGCTTTGGAGCAGTTCTAGCTAAAATCGAGGCACTAGGGCAGGAAAAGTCACAAGCCCTCCTTCTTGGAGGATGCTCTTCTTCCTACAAGACCACACATACATCACCTTCCTCATGCCTCAACATGACAAACCCTCAGTAACACTATTCTCTGCAGAAGAATATACCTTTTGTTAAAAGGAACGTATGGAGAGAGACAGTCTGCTGGTGTGATATTCATGTCACACCCCATCAGCAAGAGCATTGTTGGTACAGGGCTGTGGCGTTAGCTGAAGTTGGGGCATGCAGTTTCAGGAGGAAGCATGGTTTTATTACCTTATTGTGGGTTGGGACACTGGTCTCTCATAAAGAACTGCTTCACCTGAAGAGATTGTGAACTGTCTTCTGTGGGGCCAACAGCAATGTCTTGGGGAAAATACACAAACCCGTGAGATTAGGGGCTTGGGACTCCAACATCAGTGCAAGGGTGACTGAAATAACACTGCATGTCTTTCCTGGCAGCAGCAATGGTACAGGGAGGGCCCGGAGCAGGTATTCGTGGCTGCAGTGGCTAACACCTACTGCAGACACAGGGCCCATAGCTCTCCATCCATAGTGTCGACTGACCTGCATCTACTGTCATTTTTACCTCCTCCAGTGGAGGCAGAGAGATGTGTGTGAAAAGGGTTATCCACCTAAAACAGAGAAAATCCATCCTTTATCTCAATTGAATTTTTAGCAACATTTCAAGGAAATGACCAAGCAAAACCCCAGAGATTAAAATGCTTTAGCTAATGCCCACCCCATAGATTTTACTGAACACAGAATAGCACCCAAAATACATCTCTCCTGCTTACAAAAACAAAAAAAGTATTATCCTTCCCCACCCCCCCAGCTTTTTGACCACTCTGGGAAGATTCTTTTTTCTAAAATTTAAGGTTTTAATGACAAAAAAACCTTCCATCTCTTTCGCTCTCCCTCGCATCCTCATTAAATTACAAATTCGCTGGCTCTTGCCAGTAAGGACCACTCCACCCTGACCAGTCACTGCATCACAAACACACTTCCTAGGACTTCACAGCTTTCAGTCAGACAGTGCAGGGCCAGGATAGAAATATGTAAGAACCAGAAGCACCAGCAAAGTCTGTTCTGCAAAGGAGTCAGCCAGAGACCTATCTGTTTGTTCATGGAACCTCAGTTATATCAATATGGATGAGTTTCCACAGTAACTCTTTGATGCTGTGAAGGGCTCTGATGCTTGTCTTTGGTCTTCTATATAACACCTCTGTCCTTCACAGAACTAATTTGCTCCTCTCACTTGCCAGAGAGATGCCAGGACAGAAACAGGACAAAAGGGAAAATCTACCTGATAACATCTCCTGGGTGATGAATTCCTTCCACAGTGTCAGACCCTTGCTTGTAAAATGCACGTGGATTTTAGCTTCTGTTTAGTGATTTAAGGCATGGTCAGAATTGATGGTTATTTCTTTATGATCCTGTATGAGTTCTTAATTCCAGGCCTATACTTATCATTTGAGATGTCCTTGTACCTGCTCAGCGTCAGCAAATGTAAACAAAATGAATGAATGATGCTCAGCACCACACAGAAACACACAATGTCTTGCAGGACCCAATCCAACCTCACTTTTACTGTATGTCTGTGTTCTGGATTTTCTTCCTGTGCCAAATAAATGTTGCTTTTAAATAATGTTGTTGTTTCTTTTGCACTGAATCAGCCACAAGGTTGCATCCATTAAAAGAAGAAATACGTATTTCTCAGGTCCCTTTCTGAGGCAACACTACTTACAAAATCCTGTTCCCCTGCACGCAGAGTCATGTGAGAAGACTGTTTCCACACACGTGGTTCCAAGACTCTGACCTAGCACTCAGCTGACTCACTTTGGTCTAGATCCTGTTGCTGGTGCAACGCACTGTGGCACTTCTTCAGTTCCTTCCTCTACCTCTTTTATTCCTTCTGCTGCTTCTGTTATAGACACATGAGATTTCACAAAAAAATCCCATGAGTGTGCTTCCACTGTAATTTCCAGAGATCTTAACATCTTCCTGTATATCACGAGCATACCAAGTTGTTGTTCTTTTTTTTTTTTTTTTTAAATTGATTCCAGTTCTGACTATCAACACTATCTTATCTTTGCCACATTCTCAGCACGTCCAAAACAATGACACCACAAACAGGGACAACTCAGCCCATGGTGCTCATGACTTCTCAAGCCACATGGCACCTGCAAGCATGTGTAGCATTCTTCCCACGGCTCTGCAGCCTCCTGCAGTGTTGTGTCACTTGAGGGCAGTGGTCTTGGAGACCAGACCATGCCAGCAGAATTTTGAATCAACACTTCAAATGCAGTTCTACTCCTGTGCAAATTGCTGGGGTATTTCTTCCTCATATCCCTTTCAATCATATGGATGAACATGTCTATCAGCTAGCTGCTGGGGAACTGCCAGCACCTGAGACAGACCCCAATAGGACAATGCTCACATCATGGCTCTGGTTCTTCTGGATGACCTCTCCATGGCTACTCTCCCTGACTAAGTCAGCCGCCCTAGGCTCTCCCAAAATTATGGGCAACTTTGTTTTACAGCGCTGGTCAAACGTATCCTCTCGCCACTTCATTCCTCTAAACCAGCATAACTGAGGATACTTCTAGGTTTATATAACTTAGGCACTTACTCCTACTTTTTTTCCCCAGAGTTGCAACATATCCTGGTTTCTGCAATTTCTTGAGAGTATTCTCACCTTGGTACAAGTCATGTACAAATACAAATAATCCTCAATAAAGGCAAAAACCATTTCAACACATTCCATGGAATGTGTTTTTCAAACTCTTTATGAAGTGTTCAGGGCCCTTTGCTCATGCCTGAAGAGGAGAAGAGCTGGGGCACACAGAGTAATTGTCTTTGGCCACTGGTTTTGTGGGGTGGATTAGATGGAAGAGGCTACCATGAATATTAAGCAGTTTCTACTTGTTTTCATTTATTCACTGTTCTTTGAAAGCAGATGTTCCACCTATTGCCAGATGGAAAATATTAAATGTAGTGTCTCTTTATTTATTGTGATCTGATTCAAAAAGATGAGATGCAGGCTCTTGAAATAAAATTGGCCACCTAAAAAATTCATACAGTAAAATTCATGAGAGTTTTTACCCACAGACTGCAGATCCTTTGACACAGGAACTTGTAACAGAAATCCACAGAGCTGGTGTAACACCTACAAAGAATAACCCTGTGGCAGAGAACATGACAGTTAAAAGATGATATTCGCTGTTCCCTACTGTATGTACACCTTGCCTACTTGTCTTCTACTCCATATGGTTCCTCTGCTCAAAGTACTGCATCTTCTACTATTTTACTATCCTAAGCAAAACCTACACCTCTAGCAGACTCAAGATTGTCCTTAATGTAAAGCACAAAGTATTTAAGCTTAAGGAAGCCAGTGTCAGACTACAAGGACTTTCAGTGTATCTTACATATTCAAAAGTGTACACTTCTGGGATACGTAAGGCTTTTTTCTTTATTGTTATGTTTTAGAACATATCTTTTAATGCCAAAAGGTAACAGCCACTATGAAATTTTCACTTTAATGCAATCTGAATACCACTGCACACAAAGATCACCTAGAGACAGTTATGTGCACAGGTTTTCAGATGTGGCAGATAAAGTTTACCACTTCTCTTTCTCTGTTACTGGTTTTGATTTTTTTCCTTCTCTTTTTATAACTGGACTAACATAGCTTTTAACTTTTACTCATTTTGGCAAGTAACCATAACATCAAAGGCAAATGTACACACATATTGGAACAAACTTACTGGAACCTAAAATTTGTTCTTTTCATGAACAAGAAAGGCTTATTCTGAAGTAGATTTTAACAAATTTGTCCAAAGCAATTCCAGCAATATGCACGCCTGATCATCTACCCTTCTTTTAAAAATAATTATAGATGTTCTTAGATAAAAGGCACATTTGGCAGCTACCAAAATTGTCATGCATCCGGCATATAGTTTTTATTTTATTTAATTTTATTTTTCCTTTTCAACACCCATTACAAGTGTGGTTTTCAGCAAATTTCAGATTTTCTATCTAGAAAGTAAAAAACAAACAAACAAA